AGAGAGAGAGAGAGAGAGAGAGAGAGAGAGAGAGAGAGAGAGAGAGAGAGAGAGAGAGAGAGAGTTTTCACTTTGCTCTTCTCTTTGTGTCATAAGTCTGCGAGTGCAAGCTGCAAGCTTATGAACTTTGATTGAGCCGTTGGCAGAGACTTTGGTTAATATAGTGAGTGGAACACTACTTAGGGAACGGTTGAGGGGCAGAGGGGTAGAGGATTATCGAGACGAGGTGGTGTATGTGCATGGCGAGCAGAAAAGAGTCCAAAATCTTCATTTTCTTTTTTGGTTCATCTGAGTATTTTTGTTCGGCCTTGTTATTACTTCGACGCTTCGTCTCAACATTCAGGTGTCATACTTTTTAACAAGCTTAGACTCGATGTACAACTGCGCTTTTCCACCTCCAGCTTGACCTTGATGCATGCTGTTCGCCATCTCAGGTGTATGAGTGTCGGATTATCCTTCCCAAATATCTGATGCTCTCTCTCTCTCTCTCTCTCTCTCTCTCTCTCTCTCTCTCTCTCTCTCTCCATCTGTGTGTCTGTGTTTCAGCTGCTGGCAAGGGAGGCATTAGCTACAGACGCAAAATTTTTGACAAGATTACTCCAGTAAGCATTGAGGCCCATCCATGAATCCTTCGACCTTTGTTCAAGTTTCGTTTTTGTTTTTGAATGTCTTTTTAAAAGTTTTTTTTTATGTTTTGTTTTGTTTTTAAATGTCTTTACAAGTTTCTCTAACTCTTCTTTCTGACTGTGTGTGTGTGTGTGTGTGTGTGTGTTGTAAAGAAACCCCAAACTCTCTCTCTCATTCAATCTACAAGCGATCGCGAACCATCCATAAAACAAAACAAGTATAAACGGGCAATGTAATAAAAAATTTGCAAGGGTCCCCATTTTTGTGTGGTTGAGCGGGAAGTGCCCACACACCCGTCTGCCGCCGAAGTGGCACACTTGCACATTGTGACGATATATACTGATGAGTCAGTTGGTGAAACTCCGATGAAACAGTTTGTCACAGCTCCTTGTTTGTTGTCCTCTTCTCCCTCTCTGCGTACGGTTTACTGGGCAGCTCTGTTTGACGATATATATATATATCGTCAAACAGAGCTGCCCAGTAAACCGTAGGCAGAGAGGGAGAAGAGGACAACAAACGAGGGGCTGTGACAGACTGTTTCCTTGGAGTTTCGCCTAGTACTCATCAGGAGGCTGAACCCTCAACAGTCTGCAGAATCCCCTAATTGATTACACTGTAAGTGATAATCCACCTTAACCCCGGCTGTGGCTTAGCATCAACGACTGCCCGACAACTGATACCCTGAGGTGGGCACCAACAAGTGTGACGAAAATCAAAGCAGACTATCACTCACCCACACCAGATGGAAAACTCTACAGACTGTCGGTTCACACCCCATCACAAGCCAGGAAAACACCCACGAAACAAAGAAAGGTCTGTCACAGCCAAAAAATTGAAACGGTTTCACCCAGTTGACCTGACATTGCAGTCACAGAGATTCGATCACTAGACCTGTGCCACAACCCTGTACATTGATCCCGTGTGCTGAGTGAGATTCGATCCCTAGACCTACCCTATACCTGTACATAGACCCTGTGTGCTGAGTAGGATTCGATCCCTATACCTGTTTCACATCCCAGATTAGTCTGTAGTTATGGCAGTAGGACTTGATCCCTAGGTTTATAGATTAGCAGCTACGTCTGTTACCGATAGGCTTAGGAAGTCTGTTCTAGATGTCTCTACGAAGTCTGTCGAGGACTGGAATCTGTCTGTAGGTCTGTATGGTCTAGAAGGTCGTAGGACAGTCCAGCCAGCAAGTACCAAGGGTAAGGGCTGCACGTGGGGAAGGTTCTGGAGCACGCTGTGGGTTTCACACGTTTTGGCCCAGAAGGCCAAACGTCCGGAAACTTCCCTGGGCCACACGTTTTGGCCCAGGCCCACACGTTTTGAGGCAGGCCCGGGTACCTCCAAAGAGGTATAAATAAAGAAGCAGCGTCCAGCCATTCATTCATTCGCCTGTGTGCCATGCGGAAGAGCTGCCTTGGTATCTTGTGCATGGAGGACTGCAGGTGCCCGGAGAAGAAGTGGGCTGTGAAGAAGACAGCGGCCATAGCGAGCCAGCAAGGGAGACACCGGCGGCCATAGCTCGAAGGAGGAAGACGACGGCGGCCATAGCCGCCCAGCTGTTGGTGTCGACAGAGTGTACAGAGTGTGAGTGGCTGTGCAGTGTGGACATTCAGGGTGATCCTCGTACGTGCGTGCAAGCGAGAGTGAGGGAGACTGAGGCTGGTGGTAGAGAGTGTTTTGTGGCCATAGCCGCAAGTTGTACAGTTGTTCAGACTGAGTTTAATACAAGTTCGTTGTTGTTTCTGAGTTGAAGGAGTTCAGTTTTACCATCGGTTCTCAAGTGTGCATGTTGTGAACAAGGTCCAGAGTTGAGTCTGATTGCATTGGTATCGGAGCTGGTACCCGTTGTCCACGCCTGCGGAGCTGCAGCAAGTGAAGAAGAAGGCAGAGGCCGCCATAGCGGAAGCTCGACACACAGAGAGAGAGAGAGAGAGAGAGAGAGAGAGAGAGAGAGAGAGAGAGAGAGAGAGAGAGAGAGAGAGAGAGAGAGAGAGAGA